CATCCGGCTGCTGCACCAGGTGATGGAGGAGATTGTATGGCTCAGCCCTTTGAACATCGGCAGGTAAATTGATGTCCTGAGGAAACCTCTGGTTGCCCACAATGAAGTGGTTGAGGCGTTTTGCTCGCACACAAAAATGCAGGCTGTTGATGATATCCTGCAGTCGTTCCAGGAGGTCTCTCCTGCGCCACGATGAGACGGGTGTGACATTGAGCAGGTGCATGACAATGGTCTTCATGGTGTAGGTGGAAAAGCTGAAGCCCAGCTGAAGACGGGTGAAGAACTGCAGGCATTTGAGGTGCAGGCTGTCAGGGGGGGCCTGCCTGGCAATGTGCTTGAAGAACTCAACCTCTGCCACAGCGTAAGACTCGGGCCAGGTTGTGCTTGCTGTATGGGCCTCTCTAGGCTGGCTGCACACAAAGATGGCTGAGTCATCTCTCCGCACCCCGAAGAGCAGCTCAATCCTGAAGCTTTCCCTGCCATTGGTCACCTTGAATTGGCAGGAGCGTGTGGAGGGCAGCAGCGCTAAATGCCAGTTGTGTGACTGAGGCAAAGCCGGCCAGACTGCTCTCACCAGCTGGTAGAACCAGCGGGCAGTTTTCTGCACGTCGAGGTAGGAGCCGGTGCACAGGGTGTCTAGGAGGCTGGGATCCTGATTCCTCCTCAGCTCCTCCTCGGGGTGGTGCAGGAAGCACAGCATGTCCTCAGCCTGCTGCTCCCTCGTGCAGGTGCACTCCAGCTGCACGCGGACACGGAAGTTCCTCACGTGCCTCTGCCCTGCGCTGTCCAGCTCCATGTGGAAGCTGTGGCCTCGGGGAGGAGTCATGGGGATGAGCAGGCGGTACACGACATCCTGCTCACGGGGACTCCAGCCTTCAAAGGCACTGCCCACCCCGATGGCTCGTTGCAGCACTGGGTAAAAGCTGTTTGACAAGACCCGTTGAAAGTAAAGGCTACACTGATCCATGAGGTCAGTAGTCCACTCACAGCCTCTCTGCAGGTCCTGTACAGGCCACTGGATGCGCTCCATTATAACACGTCCAACGTGATCGTCAAAATCATCATCTTCATCTTGGACTTCATTTGCAACATCATTG